TGCATACAATTGCCCTGTTTGGTAGATTCAAACAGGAACATTGTCCCATGTAAGATATAAGAATTGTCCCATCTGACATAACCCTCAATGTCTCATCTAATACAGTACCCTCAATGTCTCATCGATTACAGAACCCTTGTCTCATCTGACACAACACTTGTCTCATCTGATACCGAAACTCGCACGTCATCTGACACTGACCATTTAACAAGATACATCGTCCTATCGGGCAGAGCGATCTCGTCTAAACCAGTAAAGATATTGTCCGTCATTATTCCATTCAATAAACCAATAAAATCCAGACTCAAGCCACGCATGAATCAACCAGGTTGTCGTGTTAACCGAGGGAATGACGATCGCCACTTATTGCGCGTACTGTACACACTACGATCGCATCACACCGTACGATGATCCACTTTGTTGCCAGTTAGAATGTGAGGGAAGCCTCAGTTGCAACCTATTAGGAAGCCAACAGAGCCACATGCACTTTGACACCGACATTGAAAACCTCATTTGTGTCCTTACCCCGCACCTCCGATTAGCACGGTTGGCTACGTACGGTGTGAAAGAAGTTCAACGTACATACACTGTCTCGAGGAGGAGGTGGGGAAGGGGGGCACTTTAGATAGAGTTTAATGAGCGCAGTCGACTAATGGCTAAGAGAGACGTAATAACGCTCTTGCAGACGTAGTTCAACTACGTCTGCGGGAGTCATTCCCTGATAAGTAGAAACCCATACGACCCCAACCAAAAAGACCTCAACGACGTGATCAGAGATCTTGGTGTCACCAAGTCCAATGCCGAGATTTTGACGTCTCGGCTCAAGCAGTGGAACTTGTTGCATGAAAGTGTGCAAGTCGCAGATCAGAGGAAGCGTCACCAACCTTTTTGCAGCTTCTTCACCCGTCAAGATGGACTCTACTTCTGCTACAATGTGACCAGTCTGTTCGAGGCAATCGGAGTCGCCTGTAACCAGAATGAGTGCCGCCTCTTCATTGACAGCTCATCCAGGAGCCTCAAAGCCGTGCTGCTCCATAATGGTAACAAGTATACGTCTCTTCCCCTGGCTCACTCGGTGCACCTCAAAGGGGATTTACAACAGCATCAAGACCTTGCTGGACGCCTTGAAGTATGACGAGTACGGCTTGGAGATCATCGGAGACTTCACAATGGTGGCATTCCTGATGGGTCTCCAAGGCGGTTTTACCAAGTTTATCTGCTATCTTTGCCTTTGGGACAGCAGGGACACCAAGGCACACTACCACAGGCGGGACTGGCCACAGCGGACCGAGTTCTCTGTGGGGAGGAACAACGTCAAGTGGGAGCGACTGGTGGACCCCCGGAAGGTGCTGATGCTATCACTGCACATAAAATTGGGCCTCATGAAACAATTTGTCAGAGCTGTAGATAAGGAGTCGGCAGCCTTCAAGTACCTTCAAGACTTCTTCCCGAAGCCAGTGACTTCGTCGGACCACAGATACAGAAGATCCTGGAGTGCAATGAATTCCCCAAGAGCTTACTAGTAAGGAAAACAACGGCTTGGGACAGCTTTGTCGCAGTGGTTCGTGGCTTCCTGGGTAATCACAAGGTCGAAAACTATGTGGAGCTGGTTGAGACTCTGGTGAAGAACTACGGCACAATGGGCTGTAGGATGTCCCTCAAAGTCCCTTGATGCTCATCTTGATATATTAAAGAAGAACATGGGAGCGTACTCGGAGAAGCAAGGCGAGCGCTTCCACCAGGATATACTGGACTTTGAACGGCGCTATCAAGGACAGTATAACGAGAACATGATGGGAGACTACATTTGGGGGCTGATTCGTGAAAGTGATTTACAGTATAATCGTAAATCTAGAAAAACTACTCACTTATAAATCTTTTGTAGTCATTTTTGTATTACTTTAGTATAAATACATGTTAATTTTGATTCATGTGTTGTTTTTTTCTGACTTTATGTGAACAAAAAGACACAAATTCGCCAGTTTTCTCATTGAAAATAGGTACATTTCAAAATATCACTTTCCTGGTCACAAAAGCAAGGTTTGTGGGGAATAATAGCCTTTTTCTAAACTTTTTAGGCATAAGAAATTACGAAATAACATTTACTACCCAGGAACAAAAATCGTGTTACGTAGTGTGATCACTACTTCGGAGGATACGTGATGACGACATGGCGGGGGGTGGTGGGTGGGGGGGGGATTTGGGGAGGGGGGGATTGGGAGGGAGGGAATTTAGGGAGGGGGGCAATTTGGGGAGGGGGGATTTGGGGAGGGGGGAATTTGGGGAGGGGGGGAATTTGGGGAGGGGGGAATTTGGGGGGGATTTGGGGAGGGGGGATTGAGAGGGGGCGATATGAGAGAGGCGGTGGAGTGGAGGCAAAGCTCCTACAGATGTTGGGTACGAATACATCACAGAGGGTGTTTGTGTGGACGCGCTTTAGCACGATGTGATAAGGAACACAGTGGATTTGTATCATTCTTTATTTCGGTTGTTCATCAAAGAAAGCTACACTGAGTCTCGTGACTCCTTTGTAGGAGGGTCCTGCCAGGTTATGGCAGTCGCGGGCGCATGATTGCCACGCGTATGCATGCACATTGAACTTCTTTCGCACCGTGCGTAGCCAACCGTGCTAATCGCAGGCGCTGTGCAATCCCAATTGAGTAACTTCAGCTTACAGCGTCTCTCGACTGATCGACGCTGCCTTGCCATGTGATTACAGATGTTACTTTAACAGTAAATATATATTGAGCTGACTTACACCACTCACCAGACACTCACCGCTCACACTCACCAGACACCCACGGACTCACCTCTCGCCTAACGGCATTCATCAGATACTCAACAATCACCCGGTGGGCTCGAAACTCACAGGACATATATGTACGGTGAACTTTTTTCGCACCGTACGTAGCCAACCGTGCTAATCGGAGGTGTGGGGAAAAGACATTCATCACTCACCTGACACTCACCACTCCTCATAGACACGTATCACCCATGAAGTTTCCATTTCGCACGTATTGCTGTATATCTGTTTAATATTCATGTAACTGAATTTGAATTGCACCCTTGATCGGTCCAAACATAATCTGCACGAGCCGTCTTGCGCTACGGGTTATTTATTATTTAATATCGATTTATGTTTGTGCAGTGTATTTCCGATGTGCCGTGTGACACGGCTGTTGTTTTCGCGCTGATTTCTCTTCGCTTCCTCGCTTCCGTGATCGCGGTGACCCGGGTCACCCTCTCACGAATGCGACTCGCCCGTGGTCTCTCGAGATCTCTCCTGGGGCGCCACAGTGGCGAGATGTTAACTACCTCGCCTAATATGCAGGAAGTCATGGCTTCGATCCCCGCCCCTGCATATTTGGAGTTTGCGTGTCTCTCTCCCGTGGTTGTGTGGATTTTTGGTTTCGTTTATCCAGGTTCAAGAGCCGAATGGCTCACAGGGCTATACCAAATAAATGAAACTGAAACAACTGAAAGGTCCTCCGTGTGTTTCCCCCCACATTCAGAATCGACGCACGTTCAGAGTATTTGGCCGCGATGAGTGTCCACATGATAAGCCACTTCGTTGGGCTATCATTTGTGCCAAGTTCGCTGCTGAAAGAGAACTGTGTAGCTCGGTGGGCCTTACCTGGTCAATATAAACATTCGTTTCATCAACTTGCCTTGCCCGATGCCCTCCACACGCAATAGCGCGGTTTATCCAGCAGGCGGCGCGCCACTAAATGCGGTCACGCGTTGTGAACGTCAAAGGCGCAGCCCTCGTTCGCGCCACTGCCAGCAGAAGGGCCTCCAGCAACGGGAGCTCTAGAGAGTATTTTTTGGCCCACTATTTCACCGCGCGGGCGAGATGTTCACTACCTCAACTTTGGTGTGCAGGAGGTCGTGGGTGCGATCGCGACCCTGTCGCCGGCTGTATCATTTGGAGTTTGCGTGCCTCTCTCTCCCCGTGGTCGCGTGGATTTGCCTCCCGGATCTTCCAGTGTTTCCCCTACGCCTTTACAAACAACGCGCGTTTCGAGTATTTGGCTGCTACGTGGATACGCCACTTTGATGAGCGATCAATTGTGGCCAAGTCGCTGCGGAAAAAGCGAAGTGCAGAGACGATGACAATACGTACCGGTAACAGTGATGTACAACCGTTTGTCGTTGCAACGTTTATCCTATGGGCAGGCTTTGCCCCTTCCATACTGATGTGGAATTTTTTTTCGGTTTTGTTCCACCACCGTCTCAGGACTGCCGACGGATACGGGCAATCAGCCAAGATGGATCGAGCGGGAAAGAGAACGCTGTCGGATGTTGTATTTATACTTTTTTAAATATCGATTTCAGTTTATCGCCTCCAAATTATTCACGAATGCCAAAGAACGCGCAGCCCCGCCAAACCTGCCGCCCTCGCCCAACACTGTCACCTCTCCTTCCTCAACTCCCACTCCGTCCTCCCAGTGGAGTAACCATCGAATCGTGTGCAGGCGGTGCAACTGCACCAGGGGTTCCAAATAATTCCCATCCACTCCACCCTGGACGGAGGGGGCACATACCAAGCACGTTACGTCACTGCCCACAGCGCCCCCCCCCCCTCTTTAACCCCCACCCCAAGTATGTAACCTGTTGTGCGAGGAGTCAATTGGGAATGGGGCAGAATGACCAAAGAGACTCGGGGAGAGCCAAGGGAAAAAGAGCCAATACATCAATGGAAAGTGGGCAGGACAGTCGAGAGACAGAGGGACAGAGAGAGAGGGAGACAAGGCGGAGAGAGTCAAGAGCGATCGTTTATAAAGGCAATTGAGGACGTGGGAAGAGTCAAGAGGAGGCACGTGGGAGAGTCAAATGAGATTTGAGGGAGACGGCAATCCACCCACTCCACAATCACCCTTAATCCACCCCCCCCCCCCCAACATCATCCCCCTCCCCACATCCCCCCCCCACCCCCCCGGCAAAAGAAAAAACATTTACCCCGGTGCGCCGGAGACAAAATGCTGTCTCATTGGCCGGGCCGGGCATTAAAGGCAGGGCTTTCCACAACCGCCTCCCTCTAACCACGCATCCCCGGCCACCTTTAACCGCCGACGCCCGCCCACTCATTCCCACTGCACTTACTCGCCGCCGAGAGCAGCAGTAGCAGCAGCATCAGCAGCTGCAGCCGGCCAGCCAGCCAGCCAGCCTCCTTTGCACAGCGCGCCCGTGCCGTGCCGCCCACGCGCACCGGCGGTGGGGGGTGAGGAGCAGTCGGATCCAGGAGGAGCAAGCAAGGAGGTCGAGTCGGGAAGGAGGGAGAAGGAGCGGCCAGCAGCAACGGTTGTTTGTTCCCCTTGACTGTCAATCTGCGCCATACAGGAACTCGAAGGTGCGACTGAGTGCGCGCGTGTGCGTGTGAAAAGTGTGAGTGTCACTGTGCATCGAAGCGTAGGCGTGCGCCGTGCCGGCCTTCGTCAGTGCTCGCTAGCAGCACTTGCCCCAAAAAGTATGTTGAGACTAAACGGGGGAGCTTTGCGTTTGTCTTTGCCGCTGCCGCTACTTGCACAGACATATGCGTGTGTGCGCACACACGTGCACATGCGTGCATACGCATGCGCACGTGCGCGTGCATCTTCCGTAGACTCTTGGGGCAATGCGGGAGCGCCTGTTGAAAGCGTTACGCGAGGGTGTGTTATTTTTTACCACCACGCTTGCCCGCCTTTGTCTCCCCGCGGATCTGATGTCTGAACAAACGAGCCAGTGACTGGGTGTTATTTACGGCTGAGTCGATCTATATGCGACGGCGAATGTCACTGATGTTAGCTGTGGCCGGGGTGTCGAACTCATGTCGCCGGGCTCGTAGAGCGCAGTGCGCTCATCATTGCGGCACTGCTGTGAACAACGCCTTCACACGCTCACACACACATACACAGCAAAGACAAAGATCCACCGTATAGACCTTTAACAGAACTGTTGGGGCATGTTCTGTGAGCGAGCAGCTATGAAGGGAGGCTCGGAATACGAATGGGTGGGTGGCCAACACGTCGCTCAGCCGCCTTTGTCTCCCCAGTACTGAGGTTTACTCACCCGCATCAGGCACTCATTTGAGGCCGAATCGACCAGGAGGAGGCTCAGGAGAAGTTCACATATCGCCACTGTTATTGGTCGTGAACGTATACATACGCGCACGCATGCAAACACACATACATACATACACGCACACACACGTGTAAGCATACCTACATATACCTACACATATACCTACACGTGCACACACACACACCATTGGTGGAGCGCTCAGCTCTCACAATGCAAGGTCTGCGCGCGGATATCCTGTTGTAGGAATTGTGTTTGAATTTTCTAGGAATTTTGCAGCGGTTGTCCTATGGATAGACTTGCCCCGGCATATCAATGTGGAATGTCCCTCGCGGGCTTCGAGCCGTGAATAGAGGTGAGCGCATCCTATTTTACCGCATATCTGTGAAAAACTACTGGACATCCATGAAAAAGAGCTTACAGCTCGTCGGATACCTCCGGTATGAAAACATATTCTCATTCTGATTGAGCAGGGGATGCCTTGCCGAGCACACATGCGGTGACAAGAGGCATCCCGTGCAGCTCTCAGGACTAGCGGAGCGAGTCTTGAGAGCTGCAGAAAGCGAGCACCTATCGTGGCCTCAACGGGCGCGCGCACGTGGTGGGGGTGGTGTGGTCAGGGCAACGGCGGGAGTCGTCTTTGTCTCGCGAATGCCGATGCTGAAACACTGCAACGGATTGCTCGTGTGAGGTTGAGTTGACATTCACGAGTGGCCGTCGCCAGAACCCGCATCAGGTTTGAACCCAGCTCGCAGCGTTTGAAGCGCAGTGCGCTCATCTCAGCGCCACCTCTACCCACATGAAGACAACGAAAATGATTCCACCCCGTATACCCTGAACAGTGCTGCTGGGGCAAGTGCTGTTAGCGAGTAGAAATCGCCTATGAACGTCGGTACGACACTCGAGGTGGTGGTGTGGCCAGATTCTACGCCCGGCCGCCTTTGTCTCCCCGGTGGCGATGTTTGCGCACCGATGTTTGCACACCGCCACCGGGTACTCACTTGAGGCTGAGTCGACCTAATGGGAGGCCAACGACCAGTTCAGATATCCGCCACTGATATTGGTCGTGAGCGGGAATCGAACTCAATTCGCCGGTTTCATAGCTCCTCGCGTTAATCAGCTGCGCCACCGCTCCCCACGCACGCGCACGGAAACGTGTCAATGCAGTACACATCCACTGACACGTAGCATACGCGTATGTAAATACACGGACAATACTTAGACCTATGCAACACGCACAAGAATTGACAAACTGTTGGGGGAAATTGGTGTGAGCGAGCACCTCATTTTTTTTCGGCCGGTACGGTGATGTTATGGTACCAGGCCCCCGTCCGCCTTTGTCTCCCCAGGGCTGACTTAACGCAGCGCACACCAGGCACTAAATGTAAGGTTGATCTGACCCAGGGATAGACGGCAGAGAAAATTCAAATATGAATTGTCAGTGATTAATTGTTTGACGCACACACACACGATTATATCGCAACGTGTGTGTGTGTGTGTGCAGCGGTTATTGCAACTGCGCTACGAATCCGGAGACCCGCGTTCGATAGCCGCTCACGGCCAACACCGGTGACGATTATCTGAACCGGTTCCGGGCCTCCCCTAGGTCGACTCAGGCTAATATGAGCACCTGGTGCGGTGTGTAAACAAACATCGCCACTGGGGAGACGAAGGCGGTCGGGCGTGGTGGTTGGCCTCCTACCCCCTCGTGCGCCGTGCCGGCCTTCATAGGTGCTCGCCAACAGCACTTGCCCCAACAGTCTGTTAAAGGCTATGCGGGAGATCTTTGTCTTTGGTATTTTAAGTTGTGAAATGCTCATGTATGAATGTTGCGCTGATTTCTCCTAGTTTCCACATCATTTATTTGCCTATTACGCGTTAAGTAATAATATTCGTGGCAATAGCATCTGCCACTGTCACCCATACAGCGTGTAACTGTCTGGAATAGAAACGCATTGTGTGTGTGTATGTGCGAGTGTTGGTCATTTATAGCATTTATTAGTGGTTAGCGCGCTGCACTCCGAACCCGGCTAACCCGAGTTCGATTCCCGATCACGGCCCACACCAGTGACAGATTATTATCTGAACCAATCCTGTGCCTCCTCTAGATCGACTCAGCCTCAAATTAGTACCTGGTGCCGATTTTAAACAAGACAAAGGCGTTGTTGCTGGCCACCCACCCCCTCGTGTGCCGCGCCGGTCGTCATAGGTGCTCGCGAACAGCACTTGCCCCAATAGTCTGTTACAGGCTATAGGGGTGGTCTTTGTTAGTCATAATGCGTGATAAGATGTCTACGTGTGTGAGTGTATGTGTTTCCGTGTTTCACTTTGCCCAAAACTCGGTTAAGGCTATACCGGGGAACTTTGCCTTTTTGTCTTTGCGTCTGTGTGTTGGGGTGTGTGTGCGCGCGCGTGTGTTAGTGTGCATGCGCATGTATCACTGTGTCTGTGTGCCAGTATTTGTGTGTAAGCGTGCGTGCGCGTGTGTAATATATGAGTTCACATTTGTCAGACATGGAATCGGTGGCGGTTAGCAGTGCAATGCTACGAACCCCCCCCCCCCCCAACTTATTTCGATTCTCGGGTCACAGCTAAGATCATGATCAGTAGCGAACGGTATCAGGATCTTCGTCGTCTTTGCTAGAGTTTCAAAGGTCAAGATGTCGTATTCAAAGCTGTTCATGCCACCGTGGTTTACGCCAACGGTGGCGATATGTTAGCAACCTCGCCTGTCTATTTGGAGTTTGGCACTTGGTACAACTATTGTTTGTGGCAAGGTCGCTTCTGAAATAGAGCTTTACAGTGGGCCTTACCTGGTAAGATAAAACATAAACAAACATACGGGACCCGTTTCCAGCCAAGCATCCGTTACGATAATTCACAACAACGCATGCTGGGGAGGGCTTTTTGTTTTTTCCTCCGCGCATCAGTCGCATTTCGACTTCAATGCGGGCATTACCCCGTCGAGTATCCAACGATAGCCACCCCCAACCGCAACATTTTAAGACATCACACGGAGTTTCAACCACTCCAATCTCCCCTTGTACGCCCAGGGTTGGGACTGGGGTTGGGGGTGGCTGCTCTCTCAAAGCCCCACGTCAAACGCTCATTGGGTAAATGTTTGGTCACGTTTCGGAGGTAATTGATTTTCTTTTGTCGTGTTGAAACTCGCGGCCATGGAGAAAAAAAAAAGCTTCACTGTAATGTGACAAGAGGGAAATTCTCTGCGCGCGCGTGCCTCTGTGCGTGTCATCGTGCGTGCTCGCTAACAGCACTTGCCCCAAGAGTCTGTTGAGGCTTTATCTTTGTGATTGTGTAATTGGGTCGAGCGGTAGTGCAGCGGTTAGCGCTACACTGCGCCGCGAAACCCGGCCACCCGAGTTTGATTCCCGCTCACCGCTAACACCGGTGACGATTATCTGAACCGGTCCTGGGCCTCCCCTAGGTCGACTCAGCCTCAAATGAGTGCCTGGTGCGATGTGTACATGTCGCCACTGAGGAGACAAAGGCGGCCGCGCGTGGTTTCTCGGCCACCCATCCCCTCTTGTACTGTGTCGGCCTTCATAGGTGCTCCTCGCTAACAGCACTTGCCCGAACAATCTGTTAAGGCTACACGAGGGATATTTGTCTTTGAATATCACTTCTAATTGTGATAGATGTCTTTGACAGTGACTGGCTGGAATGTTAATATTGAATAATAAATAAGCAAGCGTTGTGTATCACCACCAGTAAATAAACTAAAAACATTAGTCCGTCAATCCTATGGGTATTCTTGGAGTGGCTCTTGTTCAGACACACAGACTCGTCAATAACCAGGGTGGCCTTGAAATGGAAATTATATAATAGGCGACGTTTCGGGCAATGGTCCTTCTTCATAGCACGGATATAATTTCTTCTTGTGCTGAGTTCGAATCCCGACCGTGAAAAACATCAGCAGCGAGTGATATGTGAACCACTCTCTTCACAAACCGGCTATGAACCGGCGTGGTGAAGTATGGTCAAATAACCCTCATGAACAAAAGGCGTGGGGAGGGCCTCATCATCCAGCAGTGGATTGACATGTCCGTGAGTGATAGTTCTCTATGAAAGCATTTGCCTGTCAAATAGTTCTGTAGAACCCTAAGAGAGTTGATGGCTTTCACTTTAATTATGGATTTCTATGGAAGTGAATGGCTGTCTTTTTAATAATACATGCCTGTGAAAGTGAAAGCCTCTTTTGAATAATATATATCTATTAGAGTGAACGTCTAGTTTTAATGTTTGTCACGTTAATATGTAATGGAATTCCGCAAA